CTATCACTTATCCACACACCTACTTGGCAGTACATGGATTCACTTAAACCTCTTTCAGACTTTGATTTCTAGCCTCTTAATGGAGAACATATAGAAATGATTCCTCAGAATAGAAATTGTAGTATGGTGGCAATTATCGCCACCTAGGTACCACCTAAGTATCATGATTTGTTTATTTGTGTAATATTGTATAGTAGTATTAAGCAGTTTATTGCATGAAGCTCATTACTCTTCTCAAAGATCAACTCTGAAGATTTTTTTACCACGTCTTGGTAGTTGCAATTCTATGTTCCAGAGACACTATGTGTGGGATTGTAGAAATGCTGAGAAAATGCTAGTTTAGGACCAAATAATATGCTAGCCTTGCTTCAGTGAAATTTATAGCCCGTCACAGCCTAAGAATAAATATAAGCTCTGATTACGTGGCCGCATTGCCCATATTTTTCATGCTTCCGCCCTGTTGCTACGTCAGGCTGCAAAAATGACGAAACGGAATAAAGCGTTGCCAAACACTCCGAGCTGCTGCCGCTTTGGTGCACGTCAAATGCCGCGCAATCACAAAGTTCAGCTGTTTCGATTGATGAATGGCGAGGATGATGTTGTGTCCGTGTGGATAAGAGTTGAATTTTATATTGGTTCGTCTTAACCATTATGTCATAGCAAAGGGCAGCCCTAGTTGAATGTGCATAACACAAATAGATATTAATACACTTTATTTTCCATTCTTAGCTTGTCACAAACTGTAATGCTATCACAGTACCTAAACAAGCAATTCTGCTACACATGACTTTCATCGAATCTCTTCGTCACACTGGTATGACCAACCGTACATTCTAAACAGTGAGATGGTGACTGTATATATTATGTGGGGTCGTGTCTGCTTATTTATCATTCTTTGTACTTCGTCTGCACCAACAGTTTTGTGTTTGATAAAACTAGGCATAGATTACGACCTTGCAGATATGGTATCTCATTTCTCAACTGCATAGTTTTCTCTCAGAAACTTCAGTGCTGATTCTGACACAGTTGGTATCCGTATGAGGCAGTGTTTATGGTGATTTTTGGACGGGGCCACCACTTGTTGCCAGCTAGATACAAGAAGCGAATAGTGCACTTCAGAAGCTATGTAACGAGTCAGCTTAATATGAGAAAATGCCTCCATTTGGACATGTAGTCACTTTTAATTCATAAAAGTGCTCGCTGGCGAGCAAGACTCGCAGCCCTAGAGGATGGCAACAGACCAATGTTAACAGTGCACTGTGTGGCTGCTTTTCACAATTTCGTATTGCATTGTACAAAAGGAAAAACGGGATAATAAAAAACATTGTGCTATAAAAGCCGTTCCATGCAACTTAAGGTTCAGGTAACATTGATTGTGAGCCGATTCGAGAACTCAGGTGGCTGTGCTCGGCTTTACCACGCCTAATGCAATTGAAATGGGCTCAAACTGCGCAAGTGGCTGGCAGTGGTTGGTGTGCAGAGTTTCCCACATGTGAGGTGAACATCTCCTTAATATTCAAGACCTCCTAGAGGCTGATGTTCATTAAGGTAAATTGGAAAATTATTGCAATGTATACATTGATAAGAGTTGGAATAAATTATCTAGTTTTAAATTTTGAATACTAATGAGTTGTGCACTGTAGGTGTGGTCGACCCTGTAGAGGTGGTTCACACTTAGGGGAACGCTCTGAGTGTGCGCTGTTGTGATGCGGCAAGCGCTGGAGTCGGGCAGCTCGCACACTGCTCGGGCACTTGAGAACGGAATATCAAACAGCATCTGCTGCTGCAATGCATGGTGGCCACATTTTCTGGAAGCATGCTACTCAAAGGGGCGGGGAGTTTGTGGATTTCCTTGTTACTGAGAGGACTTAGCTGATAATCTCCTCTAAATGTTGTAAAACGTGAACATGTGATCCTTCACTGGCAAAACAGGGGTTCTACAAACTTTTTTGGAAAGCATGCTTTGTTTGTTCTTTCTAAAGACTAGCATACTGAGAGCATGCACATATACTATTTCTTCACTGCATGTGCGTCCGTAATGCACAATACCAAGAAAGGCAAAATCTGCTCGAAACGTTCTCAGTCTCCTAGCACAGCCACAAAAATGTAACCCACTTCCCAACAAAGCAGCCATTGTAATCCACTTCCCAACAGGGCACACCATTGCAGCAGACAACGGGGCTCAACGATATGCATTTCGAGCGTTTGTGCCGGTGCGAGCTGCTCTTGGCGCACGACTGCAGTGCTTGCTGCACCACAATGCCACGCGCTCCAAGATTTCTTCTAAGCGTGAAACAACCTGCACATGCAGCCAACAATGCAACATCACTGCCCATCCCACGATTGTCTTCATGGAAAGTAATTTCTAGTAGGCAGCATCGTGCAGCATCAGAACACTAGCTCAGAAACGTCCCACTCATGCTGCCGGATACCTGCACCGGCATCTGTTATACACTCCCATCATTCTTGACACGTGGCTTCATGTAGTACATGATACATAATGGGGAAGCGAGGTGTGGCTGGCATGAGGTAATCAATAATGTTCACGGGTAAAGAATGCGTGCGTCTTTTAAGCTCATTGTTTTTCATAGTGATAGAAGTGTGCTGAGTAATGTGCCCTGCAAGATTGTGGATTCTGATCCCACCGACGCAAAGTGTGATTTTTCGTCCACTTTGATTACTTTCAATTTAAGTCAAAATCATTACGCTACAGTCTAAGAAACTAGAGATAATGCCCCTTATGCTTCTCTTGCCATAATTGTCTGTTGATTTAATTAGTTTTGCTCTGTAAGTGTCATTGAGATCTATTGTCCTCAAAAAAATTGCCGGAGTTTGTCTTTGACACGTGAGAGCAGCAAGCAGCAGTGAAAAAAGTCGCTTTGTGCTGTCTCATAAAATCCATGTACTACCAAAGGTTCTTATGGGTAATCCACATGAAGACTTTTAAGTTCTCATGCAGTAATCATACAATTGATTAGTATTACAATCACCACTGCAGCAAATCATTTGTTAGCATCTTTTCTGAAGCATGACAGGTACACATTGAACTTGAGTCATGAGCTGAAGGTTGCCATTGGTACTGGCATTCACTTTAAGACAATTTAAGTTTTTTTTTTTTACTTGAATTAGCTAACCCGACTCACCATCTCTTCACTGACATCACAGAGTTTTCACATTAACACGCTCACTAGTGGCTGGGCCACCGATGGGTCACAGGCTGTGCTTCTCCTATGCAGTCACGATGTTACGACCATGCATCTGCTTGCTGATGCGATGACTTCATCAAACATGAATGCATAGATACGATTGTTGGTTCAAAAAGGAATGTTTTTCTGGTGTTAGATGCCATGACTCATCGGTGACGTACCGGAGGGTCACAGCACACCTGGAAAATATACCGAGTGGCCCACCGGTGCGTAACTCCGCACATAAAAGGAGACCTCAAGAAAGCTTGCCACAGTGAAGGTGTTAAGGCACTCCGAATTTAACACATTCAGGCATATTAAGGAAAATTTCAAAGCCTTAATTAAATGTGCTTATATGTATAAGGGCAAAAGGTTCGGGCTTTATATACTCTGCTAGCTACTTATTTAGACCACTAAACTGCTTGTGTTTATGTGTCAGTTTATTCTTTATAGTACATCTCTCTGCCAATGATAGTTTGTTCATTTTTTTGCATAATGAAGGAGCCCGGGTGCAGCAATCGTAATTAGATGTGGGTTTTTCGTTTTGTTTTCGAAATATTTATGTAATGAATGTTTCCCTGCAACCTACATGGTGAATGGTTACGTGTATCTGTGCAGCTAACCATACACAAATAGTTTAATGGTGCCCAGTTCTTGTAGCCTGATATTGCTGTTTTAGACAGCTTATATATTTTTTTCGAAAGTACATACTGGCAAAATCATCATTGTCACTATTACCCGCCAACATTACCATAAATATGATTTGCCGCTGTAGCACATGGTAGCGTACTGGTTGTGCACCTTTAGTTTCATAACTAGTTTGTTCCATTGATGTACGTGCAAATAGTTATCAAATAGTTTGAGCGTATGAAAGGCATGCTAATAAGAATATGTATAACTGGCACCTATTGTGTCGTCTTCATGCCCAGGAACCACAGAATGCCTAAATGCTATTACACCTGTTTCTGCTTGCACAGATACATGTACTTTCTTTGTGAAGTGTTAGCTTTCTAACATATCTGTATACCTCTGTCATAGACTGACTAAACCACTGCAGTAGAAGATTACTAAGAAAACCCAGTAGTAAATAATGGTACATTGAAGCTTCTCTGTTCTTCACAGCACCTTGTGCTCTTGAACGTTGGAGTATCGAATACTTTACACTGGTGTGATAAACCACCAGTGCAGCCATTAAAAACATGCCACTGACTTTACATTCGCAACGTAAAAGGCAGATATCGTTCTGCATTCACTGTTGTGCCTTTAGAGGGAACAGCAAACTAGTGAACTAACTGATGGGTTTCAATACAGCAAAGAAAAAGAAAAAGAATGGGAGTGAGTCAGTTGCGAGCAGTGCGCAGAAGGTGCAGGTTGGCAAAGATTGTCTCTCTGGTGAAGTTAAGCATTTAAAAAAAAGGTAAAAATATGAAGGAAAACCTGCGTGCAAATGTGGAAAGCTTCTTGCTATTGGCCTTTCCTTACAATTTCACCATTTAGCTTCAGACAGCAGTGGGCAAGTGGAACTGCTTTGGGAAGTGTGTGCCTTTTCGTAACCCTTATGTGCAAATGCTGTGTTGTCACTGTGGTGACCTGTGGTCACTGTGTTTCTACACTCGTTGTCATTGTTGTTATTGTCACTGCTTTGGCGACCATCTTGAAATTGAAATCCTTTTTTTTTTCTTTCCCCTCTCTTTCTGTCTTTCTCTCATCTTGCATCCGCCTCACACAGTTTTTTCCCACTTTGGCTTTCTTCCTCCTCCACCTTTCCTCAACACTGCCTCCCTATTTCTTTTCCCATGAAATCCTCGAAACTAGTGGATCTCCCTGAAATCAAGGGCCCTCATCGCAAATTTAGAGCCCTGGTCTCTAGTGTCTTAGGTAGGCTTCACGAGATTTTTTTACTTACACCCCTTTTCCCTGCTCCCTTCTCTTACGCTTGCGCCTTTGCTTGCTGCCGGGGCTTTGCCTGTGACAGGTACTGGTTAGTTAGCGCTACCTTGCTGACCAGCGGTCGAGCGAGGTCTTACTCTGGCGCTAGAAATTTGCACTTCGCTCTTGGTCTCTCTTGTCAAAGCCACTCACTCACATCGGGCCTGCTGGGCTTATCTCTCCCTCTCTCTTGTCTTGGAACGCAGGCTTTGCGTCCTGGCTTGAGCCTTGTATGCAGGGGCATGCGAGTTATTTTTTTCGATGCTTTCACAGTAGCTTTCTCTCGCCTGCTTGTTGTTGGCGGTGCTATGCTTCTGCCTCAACTTTCAGTTACTTGGTCTTTCCTTTGTGTTTGTGGAGTTCCTGCTGGTGGTAATGGGTTCTCCTTTCTTTGTGTGTGCTTGGCCAGTTGTGTGCTCAAAGAATGATTGTACTTAACCATTTGCCCAATGGAGGATGTTTGATGTGCTTAGTTGCCATATGAAGATGGCTTTAGAAAGCTACTGCCAGCATTGGCTTATGTGTGGAGTGGAGTGGCTGCATGTTATGAGACAGTTGTACAAAATTTAGTACTTGGTTTATATAGTCAGGGGAAAATGACAGTCGTGTAGTGTCTTGTGTTCTGGTAGCACCTCATGTGCATAATTGTTGTGGATGAATAACTTTATTTTAAGGTAATATTAAAGGTTATTGTTGAATGCTACTACCTCTGTAGCCACCTAACATGCTCCGTTTTCATAGGTCTGCATTAACTATTTGAGTGTGTATCAATTCTAGAGTATTATTTAGAACTTCTTGCTAAGTCCAGTAATACAGCATATTAAGTTTCACTGAAAGATTTGAAAGAGACGATAAGTTGTTCAAGCTTGTTTACATTTAACTTGAAAGGCATCAGTTTTACAAAGGTAAATACTGGAGAAAGGTACTTTTGTGTAGCATAGACTAAATGGCATTAAAAGGGTAGTGCAACACTTTTCTAACCAAGCATCATCTGGCTTCATTATTGGAGTTTATAGCCTCGCAAATTGACTGCCTTCAACATTTTTAGGATCGGTCAGTGGCAAACTGGATTTACATTGATTTGCCACCACAACTGTAATTGATTTCTCTCTTTTCCTGTCTCTACAAGCACGCGGCAAACCAAGCAGGGAGGAATGTTGAAGGATCGCTGACAGCAAAAGTTTTGTTTGCGGCTTTTTTACAGTGATTTGTTGCTTCGCGTATGGTAATGCCGAAATTGAATCGTAAATGCTACAACGCATCATATAATTTATGCTAGCATCATCGATTCGTAACGGTTTTGCATCAGTTCAAAACGGCCATCTGATTACCACAAGAAACTAGCACCGTCCCACAGCGAGGCAGTGCCTGAGACTACCTGCGCTCAACCTTCGGTGACGCTGAACGTGCTGTTTTGAAACTGGGGGACCCGCGGGTAGTGGAGAATGAAAGGATGTGGATGCTTTGAGCTTTGCGCCCTCAGAAAAAAGAAAAGCCCGACAACCTAGCGAGACGGGTGACGAACAATAGTCTCTGCCGGGTGCCAGTTGGAGTATTGTGTGCGCCGTACAAATGTTCTTTGACACCAAAAATACTTGCTTTTCCTGTGCGATGTCTTGAGGGGACCCCCTGTCTACGTCAAACCACTGAAAATGAATAATTGGATGAGCGCGCACCCTTATTTCAAAACCAAGATAAATTATTTTAAAGCCAACGCTCGTCACTAATAATCGGTAAGAGGTGCCCCCCGCATGGAAGACTCAAACAACACAAGCATCTCAAGTTCCCAAATTTGGTGTCAGGGGTCCTTTAAGGGGAAAGAAGTTATGTCCCATGTGCCTCGTGACGTTGGGCACTTTTTTTTTTTACACAGGGCTTGCTTTCAATATGACCGCGAGCGCACACACGGGGAACGTAGTGGCCTTCCACGGAGGTCTCGATGACTATAGCTCACTGTGTTCAAATCAGCCAACGTTCGTGAATTTTGGTATATGATGCTATCATTCGGGCATATGGCATCATTTGTAGAAAATAGGGGGAACGATTTGTAGCTGGCTTGCAAAAGGGATTGTTAATTCCAGGTCGCATGTTCTCAGAAGCGTCGACTACCAAGCAGCTGTGTTTTCTGATCATGCTGAAAAAATGTCGCAGGGCCCCTTTAAAGCAACTCTCTCATCATCGCCAGTAGTTACAGTATTGTTTCTTGCTGTAAGAATTCGCAGCGCTATTTCCTCAATGGGAAATTAAGAGGTCAAGCTTCGGGCTCAGCTGTCATTGGTCCATTCCAATTATTTTGGCTAATCGACAGCTTTTTAACAGCTTATAAGTTATGAAAGAAACAGAAAGAACAGAAACAAGTCAAATCTACAGTATGCTATAATTTTAAGTTTGGGGCAGCCCAGTGCACTTATCTGATAACGCTTATGAGAGCTGCAAGTACAGTGCATCTGGCAAAACAGAACATTATTATTGTTCCTCAATGTGGCAAGGTGGAAGGCGAAATACAAGCTGTACCATTCGCTATGAATAGTAGGCGTGCAGTGGGCGAGACAGTTTGAAGCAAGTAATGGTCAGGTCGATTGCAAAGACATTATTTTTCACTTCTGTATCAACTGTGGTCACAAGGGAACACAGGGATGCTGCAGTCAAACACAAAACCAACTAAAACAGAGGCATATGATAGGGAACGCAATTCCGTTCAAGTGATTCCCAATTACAAATATTCTTCTGTATTTGGACATAATTTGGAACAAGCAAAGAGCTGTTTGATGTTTTAAGTTCATGCTTTTACCAGCTGCAGACTTGCAGTAAGTGGCACTTGTAGCTGCTTTTTCATAGCATTCTGCTTACTCATTATAAGTTAATTAGGCTACTTAGCTCATTACATGCAACAAGTTAATGCAAAAAATGAGCCTATGAAGCTATCTAATATCCCTGTCACACAGCAAATCTAATGTCATTTGCAACGAATGACATCAAAGCGAACCTAATGTCCTTTTACTTGCGTGCTGTCACACGACAAAAAACAAACCACATTTTAAAATAATGACTATGACCTTTGCCGTCCGGAGCTGTGGATTTTGGGAGAAATAAGAATATACTAAAACTTGCATGTAACATGCGTATATCCACAAAAATAATTTTTATGGACAAAAAGGTGCTCTTAGAATGTAAACGCGCTCGTTTTACACAACTTGCCACAGCTGCGTGACACACTCGAAAACCCAACATGGTCGACGATATGACCAGGCGTGAGTGCAGTGAACTGAAGCGGGAAGCATGACCGACTTCCCAGCTACAGAAATTAGACTGCAGCAGCGAGTTTGTGTTGTCACCACCTGGGACACCACAACACATGCAATCGTATGATCAAGATATGCGATAGAGGCAACAACGACTACAGAGAAAAAATGAACCGAGGCCGGCGTCCAGCCGCTGTAGTTGAGAGTAGCTCTACATTTTTTATTATTATCATTAAAGAAACTTTCATGAGTGTTGATCTAGTAAAGAATAAGATATTTCCAAATAATAAATGTTTTGTATGCACAAGTTAACACTCATCACCCAAAAAAGTCCCTGGTGTCGGGACTACTAATTGAGTCCGAAATCGAATGCGAATGTGTTTCGGAAACTCATTCGACAGAAAATGTTGTTTTCATCAAATGGCATTAGTTTCTCTGTGTGACAGCAAACAAATGACATTACAAATAAATGACATTTGCCGTGTGACTGGGGTATTAGTCTGTTGCTTTTTAAAGATAAAAACTTATGTGTGACAGATGTGTGCTATGAAGCGCACATGTACTGCTATGTGCCTTAGAATTGTAAGGATGTTTGTACATTTCCACATGAGCATGCCTAATGGCATTGAAAACCTAACATCATTTACCACAAAATGCATTTTCACAATTCAGTCAAGCATTGAGTCTGTACTTTCGCTACCGAATGAGAAGTTGCAGCTGTATGCAAAATAACATTCTGAAGTTTATTGAAATCTACACAAAAAGCGCATATCAATGTTTTTAGTTGTGTTTTGTGAATATTTTCCCGCAATTCAAAAACAAGTTTACTGCTTTCAGTGTTATCACAACATTTATTGTTAAAAATGTGCTTGGCAGCAGGAACGCCAACTTGAGATATGACAGCAAGCAATTTATGCAAGTTAAATAGTCATTAGCACAGTCACCCGAGATGAACTGCATGAACCAAATGCAGTAAAACATATTAGGGAACAAAAATGTCACTAAAATTTTTGGGCCACTGGAGGTGTTTATGTCATTATGTGCAGATGTCATTTGCTGCAGCGAATGCCATTCGATCTGTGGTGGTGCTACACAGAAAAAAGTAATGTCATTTGTTTATGATATAAATGTCAATTATTTTAAAAAAATGTCCAGAAAAGTTGTGGAAGGTAGCTGTAGAGTGGTAGAAAAGTGAAGCTATTTATTTTAAAGGACTTGCAGGAAGTCGCTTCGCTAAATAAACATGAAGAAATTTTATATCGCAGAACATGTGGCCAACATAAGCCTAGACAATCTGCTTAGCCAGTTGCCACAGCTCATAGAATGGGCACTAGTACTATAAATACAAGCAACATGACTGACGTGGCAGAGCCACTGAACGACGACGCTAAGCTGCAACAAGTAATGCAATTAGTGGTTTTGTTGTTGGCAAGGGCAAAAAGTGTGCACAAGCCAGATGAAGACTTGATCCTGGCATCAATGAAGAATCAAGATGTGTTTGTTGCGTTTCTTGAGGCATTCACATAGTGATGGGGAGAGGAGGGGGCAGGAAAAGAAACATATCGCATCTATTGAGGTCTTCTGGAACGTGTAGTAACAGACGTACACGTGCAGTGTGACCACACACTTACAAAAGCCCAGAGCGCTCCGCATTTGTTCACTTTGAAATATGGTCTTGCAGATGTCCATGGGGGAAAATAGATTGCAACAGAACTGCCATAGCCTTATGAGAGCAAACATCTCCACCAGGGTTCGTTCCGCTCATGGATCAAATGCCATTGCTCCATATACATGCATAGATGTGCACAGAGATACAAAAGCGTCTATCTATTTACATTATGGCCTACAACTCCGGAAGCCAGTGGCCACTGAAGTGAAGAGTAAAAGCATTTCGGGACAGCTTTGTGTACACCTGTCCTTGTTAAATGAGTGATGCCTTAAAATATTAACATTAGTAGCATGTTTGCATGAATGCGGTTCATACTGAGAAAGCCAAATGCCACCCTTTAAGTAGTCTTTGGAGCAGAGTGTGCTACATTCAGTTTGACTGTGATGGCAAACATGTTTCGCAAACTCATTCGATTGCTTAAGTACAATGAACTCTCAGTAAACAGAATCTGTTAAACGAAATTGCTACGTAAATATCACAACTGCCTTTTATATTATTTGTTTCTGACTTGAATGCTGCAACCCAGTTTTTCTCTCAGTTAACGAAACTCTTGTTAAGTGTAACGCATTTTTCCGGTCCCATCAGGGTTCATTTAATGAGAGGCCTACTGTATTTTCATTCTAATGACATCATATATTGCTGTGTATCAGCACATAACATCATTAGATACAAATAGCATCCAGTCGAATGACATTAAAATAGCCAGTGTGACAGGGATATAACATTTGAAACAGTGCTACAAAGTAGAAAAAGCACCAGAACTCGCTTCTACACATTTAAGTTATGTGTCAGCGACAGTACTGCAGGTCATAACAATAGCAAACGAAATAAATGCTGTGTTTTACGGCTAACAGGGTAGGTATTGATTTGATTACGATGAATTCTGTTCGGCTTCACTTTCATATAGCATTGTCCAATGGTTAATCTTGATACTTCTGCATTCATATCACATTGATAACTGTCAACTCTTTCAACCCTTGGTTGTAGCTGTTTGGGTGGCTGCTACGTTGCAGTAACATCTACACTTATCATGTGCATTTCAGTGTATGTTTTGTGTGCTTCATTCCATGTGCAACAATTAACGTTATGGAGGTTGAATGCTTCCATGACTGCTTGCGCTGGCAACCAAGTAGTAGTCCATAAAATCAGATTTTTCTTTATGAAGTTTACATTGTATTCGAATGTAACGTGAAACAGTAACACGAAGTTTCAATACACTTTCATTGTGAAATGTGATATGATCATGGCATAGAAGGTTATTTCGGTCTTATCACCTCCTAACTTGGCGAGTGACACATTCGCACGAGTAGCAGCCTACCTGGAGGTCATGGAAAAGTGATAATCTCTGCCAGCTTGCATTTTGGAAGGCTGCACCAAGTACATAAAATTTTTTTTGTTTATGCCTTCCTGTAGCAGATGTGTATCAGACAGGGAGGCCTTTCATATTATCGAAGCAATCTGGCTGTCCTCCATTCGACAAGGAAGGTCACCATTCAGATCTATTCTGAATGGGAAAGAGAAAAGCTTCAACCCAAACCTATTTGAAATCGCAGCATCATGGCAGCTCGACTAGCTTCTTCCTTAATGGTTAAAATGGCATGAGGTGTTCCGCTGCTGTTACGTGCTCTTGTCACTCTGAAAAATGTGTAGACAGGTTCTCACAAGTGTTCCCATTGAAAGGATCGATTTTACCCAGTGTCTGAAACACCGCAGTTATATCCTTTCTTAGGCTTTTTTTTTTTTTCAGCACTTCATATTACTGCAGTGAAGTATATCCAAGCAAGCTTTGAAGTGTGCTTGTAGGGCATAGCGTTTAGTATATCAAATGTAGAGGTGATTAGGACTTCAATATACATGTAGCACAGGCCTACTTGTGCTTGCTATTTCTCAGGGGACCTAACAGCTCTTAATATAGCAAATAATTATGTATTCAACTGCGTTCAGTAATGTATAGGCTAACATATTATGACAGTCATTTCTACAGCCATTTTCACACTTCTGACACTTAAGCGTGGAAAAATATCACAGGTTGGAGGTTATGCTAGAGGCACAGGAACACATCGTGTGAGCGAAGCACTTCGCGAATGAAAGAAAGCAAACTCAACATTCAGCTTAGAAGGTTGGCAGATTGTGCTAGTTGGTACTAAGATTCAAGACTAGGGTGTGGTTCTAACAGTTAAAGATGAATAAATCCTTTTTATTCATTGTTGTGGTGAGCCACAAAAGCAAGTTTTTTTGTGTGTGATCAAGAAAAGGTAGCTCGTTCGTTGGACATTTTATCGCAAGATCTGCACGTGGATGCATGTGCCACACTGCATGACTAGATGCTCTTTTGAGTGGTTCACTGCAGAGTAATTTGTATTTTGCGGAATAAGCTAACGTCTGCGTAGTTTGAGTCTTGTTTGTGCCATTGTAATATGGCAGCCTTGCCCATATAGCAATCATATAGTGAAGCATGGTCTAGAGTGATCTTGATGACTACTCTGCATTTGCTGAGTGTACATTTTCTCACATGATCTCGTCGACTTTAGTGGCACCAAGTGTCTCAACAGAGATATATATGTCTGTTTTGGTAAAAACAAAAACACCCCGTCTCACGACACGTGTTTAAAGGGGGACCTGGCAGCATCGTGTAATATTATGCCCCAGTGGGATTTTTTTTTTCTCTGGTTCTAAGGTAACTGTGAAAGGTAATTTAAAGAATATGTTAAGCCCATGAAAAAGAAGAGAGGAAAGAAAAGGCCTATTTTTATATCATAATTATTTATAAACTTCTTAATTTAGTTGGGATCATTTGGAAAGATTTTTGTCCTGCAGTAGATGTAACATAAACCGAGGATTACAATTATCATTGCAATTGTTGCTTCCGATGCATTTGGGAAGCTATGGCAGATTGTTAGAACATTATTTTTGCCGTTATTGTTCTATGCGTCCTTGTCTACTCATGCTTGCTCTTTTTGTATGAGTTGTCAGTATTTATTGTTTAGGCATAATAAATCATGTGATAAAATTGCTACAGGAAATACTGCATCAAAGCTGTGTGCTACATATAATCTTGTGTGAGGTGTGCAACCATTTGGAGGAGCCTGAATTGATGGCAAGCCTAGCATGATATCAAGTGAAGAGCTTGCGTTGTGCAAACTATTGGACCACCCACCTCTGGTGTTGATATTAAAATGCTGTTCACTTGCAGTGCAAGAATCTGAGACCTATGAGTAGCTTTAAAAAGTTTAAAAGATGTGTTTGTGAAGTGCTCACTATGCACTACATATGCCTCACCTGTGCTGATGAAAATGCAGCAGGTTAAAATATCGAGGTACCCCATAGTTTTCACTACATCTGAATTATTACCAGGTCGTGTGATGAGCAAACATGAAACGAATACATAACATGCATAAAGGCCCCTTTTTGTTTAAAATTTGTCAAGGATTAAGAGCAAAACGCTAGTTGTTCTTGTGAAATAGAGCTCGGAAATGAATGGGCAGCACTGAATCACGAAAGATCTGTATAAAAGAATGGAGCGTATTTCGAACGTCAGCCTAATTTTGCTCATTAAAGTCGGCTTTCGTGAAGAAAAAAATTTAGCTTGAATTTCAGTTAGTTTCAGTCCAATCCGATCCCTACATTCCATACAAAATTGTAGGGATTGGGTTTGCTGCTTGCTGTCTTTGATTTGAAGTGTCACCTTTCTGTTTGCATGCAAGAGGTCTGTTGTACTAACTACTAGTAGCGAGGGAACTTAGGAAACCGTCTGCTGAAAACTGTGTGTAGTTTTTCATGTTTAATTGTGCAGTTATGCTGTCTCTTGCATTGTAGCGTGTCCGTCCAGCTGACACTTTTGTCTCAAAAGACCCGTTCTGTTTTTTACATGCTGGTGGACCAAGAAGTTTCATAACTGCCATGTCTTGTGAGCTCCACTTTCGATAGTTTTTTTGCCCTCTCTTCTTGGGCAAAGGTTTATTCGAAAACTTTCTGGAGCATCAGTTCCTAGTGCGTAGAAGGCTGCACGAAAGCCTGCTCTGTTGTTCTTCTTCTTGCTTCTGCTTGGGAATTCCATATTCACCTATCCACAAGCTTTTCTTCTTTCTCTTCCTTTGTTTCTCTCTTCGTTTACTTGCTTGTTACCTTCTTTACTTGCAGGGGCATCCTGTTTGTTCGTGTGGTTTCTCTCATCAATGTTTCTCCCCCATTTTTTTCGCACAGCACTGAAGCACTCGCCTTCAAAAAGGAAAGGAGCTCCAGGGAGAACACGTCATGTTTCAGCCAACGAACAAGATGTCATCAAGGAGGAAACGGAAGCGGACACATCACCAGGCAAAGATCAAGGTATTTATCCAAAACCAATTTTCTCTTATAGGTGACTCCCTTTGCTGTATCGCTAACTGAAGTTAATGCGCAAAAATTGGTAATGAATTTTTCAATGTTTACTTTGTCGCCTCAATGTTTAGTTTGTGCTGTGAATAGTGGTGCCGAGCTTTCCCAAAGCTGCTGACAATAGCGGCATTAGGTGTCGGGCCTTGAATAGAATGTGTGACCTGGAAAGGGCAAAAACCACACTCTGGCCTTTTATTATTATTATTATTATTATTATTATTATTATTATATTAATTTTGTATGTGTGTGAAGAGAACACAAATTAAAGAACACTGCCCATACAGAAAGCTTGTTGTTCTTGCAAAAGTGAAGGCACTCTTCGATACAGAATGGTTTGACATTGTTTTGTCCAGTTATGCTAGGTCTTGGCAAATAAAAACAGAGCACTTGCATTGTTAGAGATCTCGAAGAATCAGGCGCATTTGTTTGTTCAGGGGCAGCCCCATATTTTCTAGAACATTAACTCTGTGTTCTGTTTTTAGTTGCAAAGATGTCTCTGCATTGCTACTGCCATATTTGTTAGAGTGCATTTTATGTGTGGTCGGGAAGCGTTCTGGCCCTTCATGGTTGTGCATCGATTGTGGCACGCGTGAAGCTCGCAAGAGAAGCAGCCTGATCGTGCTTGACGAATGGAGGCGACAGCAGCAGCCTTAGCAGCAGTCCCCGGAAAGCTGCAGCGGACAACGCCAAGCCATGGCGAGGGCCACAGCCGTAGCTGATGCCGCCGCCGCCCCCGACTGCTAAGTCTGCGATTTGACCGAGATCCCGGGCCCACTCTCGTCGCTCGTTGGGGAGAGCTGCGCCACGTGATATGCTTTCCTGTGGACTCTATTTTCAATATCTCCTGTTACCTCTCGCCGCAACTTGTTTGGCCATTGCTGCCAGTTGCGGACGCAGTTCGTACCAGTTTGCCGTTTACAGATAGGTCGGCTTCATGGAACAGAAATGTCTCGGCATATTTTTATGCAAGCTTCGCAGTGTGTAAGTTGTGCATAGCCCAGCACAGCTTATGTTTGTGTAAATGTGTAGCGATGTGTGGTATCCGATTTAAGACTTCGGCTTTAGCGCTATATGCGTCCGCCGAGATAGTAGGCCAACAGAAACTTAGGCCAAATCTCGATATTCAAAGAATTTTCCATTTTGCCTGTATTTCTTAGTAACATATCATGTCATTACGCTATGTTCTGAATATTTGAATGCTTATCTGTTTTTGTCTTGCCTGTGAGGATAAGCTGTTGTGTACTTATGTACTTCTTTTAGATGTTCATATCAGTCCACGTTTTTAAGTGTGTGATGCACCTAAAGCAAACAATTAGTCTAGGGTTTGTGCAATTGTACAATATTACACAATGGGCTTTGAGCTCAACAGCGTACATTCAGCTGGTAGATATTACAGGGGGAAAAGTTACGACTCATGTCCCCACTTAGAGTTTGTGTTCCCAATACATAGGGGCAATTACAGTTAGTGTTGCTATACATATGGAAAGTTTTGCTGGCCATGCTGTGGCTTATTTTCTAGAAATAGTTGTCTTAAGAAACAACTATTTTGTGCAAGGTCACATTTTTTTACAGTACTATAACATTTAAATGTGCAATCGCCGTTCATGTTACTCACTTATTCTCTTTGTTCATGCTTGGTAGTGCGTGTTCTAGTATGTCATTCTACTGTTGTGGAATTGATTTTTTGCATTTATATATATATGCTTAGAAAGCATTGTAACTCTTATAGTGTGCAAATTGTTATTACTTAAAGCTGCGAAACGTCCTTGCTATGATGTTGGTACTTTATGTTATTATCACTGTTGACTACACCAATGAAATAATGCCTACAGTAGGTGCCAACTGAAAGTACTGCCGTGTGCCTAATCTTATCACGACACACAGTAAGGTCTCCGTAATTGAAGATCATGTTATCTCAAATTACGTGTGAATTGCATGATTCAGGCAGTTTGTGTTATTTGACATGGGAAGAATGATTGACAATTCGAACAGCTGTAGCATATTTTTACCTTGGCCTGTAATTTCGAAAGCTAGGTCATTCTAACAGCTCTTGAAGTTTTTCTCACCAGCACATGTTTAAGTGCACCTCAGTAACAGTGTCAGACTCAGTTGAGACTTACCAACAGCTCTGAAATTCATGACGATAAAAATTGCAAAAGAACTGTTCCTGCTGTCCATTCCATATGACAGGTTAGCCGAGCTATTGATCGGGCAGCTGTCAATTTGAAACATACTGGCTGGAGGATACGACATGTTTCTCGACAAATCTCACGTTGCCTTGGAAGCACACAGCCCACGCGGTGTCTTTACGCAAAAAAATTGGTGACGAGGACATTGACTTGGCGGCACATATAGGTACTCATTATTGGCCTCTTGGTGTTTGGCCAATCTGGTTTAGCCAATAAGGGTGAAGATGATTTTGATATCGATGTAATTTGGATGCATCAAGCCTGGTCAAAAAATCAGGAGTGCCCATGCTGCAATATGATTGTGGAACATGATTCTGGAATGTAAGTTCAAAAATATGGCCCTGATCACTGCAAGCCATCCAATCAAGCATTCTCTCAATTGCAAGTGCTTTAAACAGAACGGTTTATAAACAGGCACTGCTTATATATGTGCCTGTACAACAAAGTTTCATGTGTTTTATCCCTAAGTTAATATTTAATTGCAATATATTTTTGTGCTACAGCATTTATTGAATTATCGAGGTTTTACTGTATTGTCACCTATGTATCACATAATGTGTGCACACGGGCCACCTATTTACTTAAGGTAGATTTGTCTGCGTAGACAATATTTTCGTTTAGAGAAGTGGCCACTTAGACACATACAAAGTGATATAGTGTCCATATCTAGACAGATTTCGTCCAACAATGTGATGTCAGTTCCAGAGCAGCCTGCAATACACACCGTCTCACTTGGCACGAGTGACTATGACAAAGGAGGATGGACAGGGTCGTTTACTAAGCTTAGTGTTGTCAGGAAATTCATATAATTTTATTTACATTGCATGTAGTGGTTGGTTTCAGAAACTGAAAATGCCGAGTGACGTGCTGCTTCTTGGCATTGGCAATCACACAAGCTTCTGAGCAATTGCTTCCTTGCTTCAAATCATAATTTAAACGCGCATTTATGAAACTTGATTTGTTTGTATAATTATTTGAACAGTACGAACTTATAGCTGTTGAATCCATGTGCTTTTATTTGGTGTGTGATGTATATTTGACGTGCCATTTCACATGGCAGCATCCTGTGATGATTGATGGCACGAAGACTTGTTAGCGTACTGTGCGTTTAAGCCACAAGGTTTGTGGTTCTCGTGCAGAAGTGTCCTTACATGTGTATAATTAGAACAGTCACAATGCATTTATTTTGGACGTGTCACGATCTTTCCGCTTCATTTGTCAGTGTGAACTGGCAAGTTTTATTTGGAAGTCTTTTAACCTATTTTGCTTTTTTTTAACTATTTATGATCATTTTGAAGTAAGTATTTACTCACAATTCAAGGAATTTGTTGATGCCACATTTTGAGTCAGATTTAAGCATGAGTCTGTTTCTATTTTTCTCTTTAATTTCTCAAGTTGAAGCATTCTGCTTAGACAGACAGTTCTCATTGCAATGTTTGCCTTTTATTTGTAAGATTACTTTGCAAGTCCTTAATAAAGCTGTTTTCTACACTTCAAAAGATGCACTGTCCATTGCTTCAATTTTCGTGTTGAGCACTAATGGACTTCATTGAAGCAAAATGCATCAGTTCAGAGCAGATTAATTCCAGTCCTATGCTATTTTATGCTATAAATCTTTGAACTCCTACACATTCCCAGCAGCCTTGTTACATTTTATAGTAAGCACAATACTAGTCCCCAGAGGCACAGTTGACTATAAAACTAAGTGAGCTTAGTAGAGGTGTGTGTGTGTGTTTAGTTTTTTTCTGTTTGTATTTTTAAGGACAAGTTGAAAGTGAAAGATGTTCTTGGATGTGTGAAGGCTTTTTTAAAGCAAATTTTTTATTGTCTCATGCTCTGGATTTGCGGATGCGTGTGTGAAGGCCTTTTTAAAGCAAAATTTTGATTGTCTCATGTTCCGATTTGCAGAGGCCGTTTTGCTAAATTGCGCAGTCACTGGATGTATACCCTGACAGGCAACTTGAGCCAGTAAACATGGGATTCTTGTAATAATAGCATTTTTTCTCGTCATATTATAGACCAAGAAAGATTGCGTATTAATTGCATATTAGAATTATGTTTATATGAGTTTACATTTCAATTACATCACTTTGTACAAACCTTTCCATCCTTAGCTTAAAATTTACTTTAAAGGAGCCCTGCAATGCTTTTTTGACATTGTCAGAAAACCCTGCCAATAGGTAGTTGAGGCTCCTGAGGACACTTGAACAAAACATAGCGCAATACGCAGCCTGTAATTTACAATTAGTTTTGAAAGTCACGTAGAAATCAGCTCTATTTTCACTCTTCGAATGATGCCATAAGCATGAAGTCCACGGCCACTGCATGATCTGAGCACCATAAGCTACCATAGCCGCTGCAGGGTGCCACCATGTGTCTATGTGCTCTCGCAATCACACTGAAAGTAAGCCAAGCGTTCAGTGAGAAAAAAAAAGTGCTCAAGGCCATGATACACACTGACGAATGGACATAACTTCTTACCCCTAGTCAATCCCCCCTCCCTTCTCTGCGTAGCTTTCAGTGTGCTCTCTGGTACGAAAGGAGAAAAACGCTTGAGGCGCGCGACAAATCCACTTATCTCCGCTCGTGCTTTCGACATAATCTAAAAATTTGCGGCAGTCGATTCATGTAGCAAAAAACTTTAACAAAGCCATTTGATGGTTATTTTGAAAAGTTTTGTAGAGCCCCTTAACATTTACATGAACGTTGCTATACTCTTGACTCTCACATAAGCATGTGACCTGCCAAATTTTTTTGCAGTTTTCTTTGATAGCATGGATCACATGCAGAAGCATGTGATTGCCCTATATAATGAATAAAATTTCATTGGAAAAGTGTTGTGGGGCATTTTTTCTCGCAAGGTATGTGGCAGTTCTAAGTGATGAGGTAGAATTCAAGACATGCTTAGGTGCTTTGCTGTCCACACCAATCATTCTACCTTAAGGTATGTTTCATAGAAGAATTAACAGTGGCATTTATATACAGGTTAATTAACCGTGATGGCTACAGATATTGGTTAATTGCCCTGCTTGCTTTATCCCAGTGCCTGTAGCATAGTGTACAAGCCTATATAATAGATGCATGCATGAATCCGTTATTCTACCACATTTGCACTACTCCCGCAGTCGTATGAAAGGGTGTTGCTGAAGACTGTGATAATGTGGAATTCTGCCTTTGCCCCCCATTCCTGTTTATTCCAAACAGACTCGGACTTGCCAGCATCAGAGAAGAACTCTGTGTTCAAGTTCAGCGATGCAGAAACGGCAGCCATGATGAAAGAAGCCTTGAGCTTGTCTTCGCACCCCGCTGGCACAGAGCGGAGCAAATCCAACTCGGAACATGTGCCAAAGTCGGTTGTGCTACGTTCGCCCGCCACTGTTGTCACCATACGAGCCTCCGAAACAGTCAGGTAGTGGGTCCATTCTCTTCGATATTTAGCTTTTTGGGGCATTTTTAGCTTTGTTTCATGCATAGCAGGCAACGCTGCAGAGGCTAGCTCTCCGACTCTTCCTGTAGTTTAGGGGGTAGCTTATTTTGTCTATAAGATGGAGGGCAAGCCCTCTGGTATCCCAAAGCTAGCGACAGCATTCTTTCACGTCTCCCGAAATCGAGACTCTTCCCTAGATACCAACCTTCCCAAAGCCTGTGTATCAGGCACTGTGCGCACATCAAGGAAACTAGGGGGGTCAAAATTGACGTGGTGTCCATCACTGCAGCATGCGTTGCAATCAAATTATGGTTTTCGCACACCTCGGGAGGCTGGAATGATGAGCATTAGCCGCGTCAAAATTGTCGCATCAAGTGTTGACACGACGACATGTGCAGCGTACAGAAACATATTTCATAGAATGTGCCAATACAGTGTGCCGGCACACATGCCACCTAGTGTGTCTCCTCAGCAACTCACTCAAGAAGATTATTGCCTCCAAGATAGGCTGTGGGCACAGCCATATCTTGAATGTCATGACCAACCATACGGCGAACTGCTTTGACAGCCGCATTTCGCATTTGCTGCACAGGGCACGATTAACTATGTGTTCCCTAAGCATCTTCATGTAAATTTAATGAAACCAACAGACAATTAAGCCTAGGAAAATGTAGAGGGCTGTATTGTTTTTACTGTAGGGTAATGATTTGGACCTCAATTGAAATGGTTGCTTTTCAGTGGATGTGAAATGGTAGAGACCCATGTAAGGATCGATGTCACGGCGCATCGAAGAACACCAGGTGGTCAAAGTTTCCAGAGCCCTTGACAATAGTGTCCCTCATAATTATATCTTGGTTTTGGAATGTAATACCCCAGATAATATTGTTACCTCAATTAAAGAGAATTAAAAAGGGTAGAAACCACTCTCTGTCTGTGGGATATAAATCCAGTGTTCACAACCTTCGAGCGTGTTTGTGGGTTCCAAATTCAGCAACGAAACGAGTGATTGTCTTCCTTGAAATTTATTTGGATTGAGGTCAATATCATTACATTGTAGCTAAAAAAGAAACTACAGATAATGTACCCTATGTTCTACTTGGCTTAATTATCTGTTGTTTTCATTATTTATATCTAACAAATAAGCAAGCATTTCGAACAATTTCACTTTTTTCGTACTTACATGTAAATCTACCGTTTGGCCCCTGGCACCAACAACAGCTTTAAGTTTAGTTATCCTATCAAAAGCATAAACAATAAAAAGTAACTGCTCTTAAAAAAACGGTCAAGGTAAGACATTGACAGCCATGCTACCTGAGTAGTCTGCGTCGTTGTCTGCTGTAATGGTGAGTCAGGCGGCAAAGATGTGGGGTTCTATCTGTGTGTAACACCTGGTGTTGTGCGGTGTGGCAGCGTGAGCTCCCTGGGGCCATCTGCCGTGCGAAACCTGACGTGGACTCCCCCCCACAGTGTGGAAGGCTCTACCCCCACGCACACGGAAGGCACACCTTCATTTACCGAGTCCAGTTCCAGCGGAGACATCGGTGAGCACTTAAGCCGTACCTCGCTGTTTGCCTCATGCTTGCCACACTATCTTGCTCACCTCCCGTTGTAACTCGGTCTTCTTCTTCTTCTCTCTCTCTCTCTCTCTCTCTCTTGTAAGAAGCTATGCATCATGTGCTATATTGTTTGACCAGTATGGATTGTTATAAGTAGACTGCTCGAGCACTTTTTGGTCCATCAAAATCTGTACAATTCATTCATCAGACACAGTCAGACAGACAGCGAACTTTAATAGAACTGGAGGAGTTACTGCAGGACCCTCTAATGAGGGGCCGTTGTAACCGCTGGCCACGCCCACGTAGAGGACAGAACGCTGTGACGCTCGGCCCGTTCCTGGGCCCTCTGGACTGTCTGGATATGCCTGCCGATTTCCATACTTCTTATGGTCTCCTCCCATTCGGCTTCGCTTGAGAGATGGTTGTTAGGCAGCGCGGGACATCGCCAGAGCATCTGAGTCATAGAGCAGAAGGTTTCATTGCAGTCAGGGCAGCTAGGGTCAACGTCCGCGTATATTTTACTTGGGAATCTCTGCGACGGAAAAGACCCTGTCTGCAACATTCTCAAGGTGGCTGACTGTGCTCTGCTGAGCTTCACGTGAGGAAGAGGATAGGTTCTTCTGCCAAGTTGTTAATGCATGGTTATTTCATTGAATGTGAGTAGTGTATCGTTCTGCTGAGTTCCTTCCTGCCCCACCATAGCCTCCAGACCGTCACAGCGCATAAGTTCTCGCGCACAATCATTGGCCAGCTTGTTGAGATTTGGGAAGTCTTCGAGGACGTTCTTCCCCATGTGTGCGGGGAACCAAGTGATAACATGATAACCTGTACAAGCCCTCTTTTCTAGAATGGAGGCCGCCTCTCGAGTGAGGTTGCCCGATCGGTAAGCTCTAATTGCGTCTCTTGAGTCTGTGTAAATGTAGGAACGCTTTGGGTCGAACAACGCCAGCGCAACCGCGATGTGCAGTGGCAGAAAAATTGCTATATTTGTCAAACAAAACGTGTTTGTTTGGCACTCGTCAGCCCAAGACTTCGCAGTGCTTAACTACATCATATGCAGTCAATGGTGTACTTTTAGTCCTTTCATATACTACATTCTATATACAGTAGACTGTCAGTAAACGAAACCTGAAGGAACCAGGAAGATATGTTCCATTTAACAGGAGTTCCGTTTACTGAGAGGTGAGCATGGGTGCAGAATGCAAGCCTGAAACCAAGCATTTCAGGGGCAACAGTTCCATTTACTGAGCATCTACTGTATAGGTCATCTATACTTTCTATTCTATTCAGCTCATGTTGTATACTGGGTATCCTCTTTGGATGCCAGTCATATGCAGTGGGCGATAGCTTGCACACAGGATGTGTTTGCTTGTCATTTTGTGGCTGACATTCAATGTCAACTCAGCTATTTTGTGAAAACTGTCGTGTCGCTCTTGTTCAGCTATGTTGCTGAAAGAGAGTGTGGAAACTTTTCACTTGTATTAGCTGTGACCCTATTCAAACATGTTGACACGCACTCACATTTCGTTAGGAAGATGATATGTTCACAAATGGAGCTAAGCGCTTGATAAATCAGCCAGATTAATTCATTCTACACAGGGGCTGATCAATTGAAGTTATTTGCGTCTTGCAGCTTGCCCAACGACGCCCCTTAAAAACTGGATGAACAAGGGGTCGCAGCCTTCACTCGGTGACTCACAACAAGGGCTACACGACAGTGAAACGGTGAGTTTTCAGCCATCATTCTTACACACATCACTGCTGTTTTACAGTGACTGCACCTTGCTGTGTCATGCTGAATGGCATTTTGGAAAATGTGCGCTGTATTTCTGCAACTTATGGCAGACTGCCCAGCTTTTGTGGATGCAGTGTAATGTCATTATAAAAGCCTTGAATGAGGTTCACTTGGCTGTGTAAGGAAGGAATCGTATCGGGGGTAAAGAAATAAATTATCGGCAGTTCTGTTGTAGAGGTTCATTCAAGTGAACTTTTTTCAGCCAAAGTAGATTAAGCTTTTGGCATTGGAATCTCACTTTTAATGCCAACTTATAAGTCTCATCTCCATCAGCAGAAAAATAAAGCTGACACGAACTTTGTAATTCTCGATGTTGACAAACACATAGTTCCAAGGTATTGGACGGGCCTGGCACAACGTTCGCGAACGTTTGGCATGAAGTGGTGTCTCTGTTCTGACGTACACTTGCAAGTCTTCCAGTCTCGTGCTGTGAATGTCGACCTTATGCATTTCACCTAGCCATTTGTAGTGGGTGATGTACCTTGCAACATGGCAGCATGGATAAGGTTTATGCCTGGTCTCTGCTGTGCTACATTTTTGTATGCCTTTTAATTGTTGCGTTCGTGACAAGTGTAGTGTGAAAAGTAAGGCATGGCACGTTTGCAACTGTGGATATTTCAGGGTATTGAATAGTTAGTTTCCTCTGGAGAGCTACCTCATTTCCTCATTCGCTGCTGTTTCATTTCAGTTTTTTTTTATGCCTTTTTCTTGAACCTATAATATGCATACTGTGAGCAATACGTACCAGCCTTCTGGGCATGTCTTTAGGTGTGAGATGGAGTCTTATTTGCAAGCTGATAATGTATAGAAGGCACCACAAAAGCGGTGCGTACGTTGTTTTTTCGTACATTCTGTGCCGTGATCTCTTGAAACAGCATTTAAAGGGCATGCCTTCAATTCCCTGAGCTAAAATCTTTTTACAGGGAATCATCTCTTGGCTCAGAATCTGCAGTAGACAGCATGCTCACACGTATCGTGTTTAAATTGTTGCTCTTCGCATTTGCTGAAACAGTTGCTTATTCTGTTATTTTAAATAGTGGGAATCTAGTATTTTTTACATTGACTTCCCCACCCCTGTGGAGCATTCATGTAATATTCGTTCGAATAGCATTGCAAAGTAAGCTTTTAGGAAATTCTTTCAATAGCCGTCCTTCACATATTCCTGCTGTTGATGTGGCAAGCTTGCAATGCATAGTATCGGGGCTATTAAGTGCAGCCTTGTCGGTGTGACTAAGACCATTACTAAGAAATGTTTTCGCTTCTGTCTTGAACAGTGGCATGTGAGTACGAAACTGAGGCTACTTACTTTTGCTTTGGAATTTTTTTGTATGGTCACGATGTGCTGCTAAACTGTATTCTACTTCAGCTACATAATGTCTGTAATGCTTTCATGCCTTCGAGCAAATTTATAATGTACATCATAGCCCATTCATATTTACGCTGCCAGCAAAGTTTCGTTTTGCATTGGATGAGCATTTTTCTAGCTAGTTCTCAGTTTGTATCGGATGCCAGCTTCAGTGTTGTGTCTGGCTATAAATTGTTAGCCATTGCTTTTGGCTATAAATTAAATTTTATGCTTAGCTGATGGCCTAAGTGGCGAGAGACAATGTAGAAACACTTGTGGCTGTGTACCTTCTGCAACTGTTTTCTGTACTGAATCATAAATTGATGACTATCGTGCAGAACCGTGTCATGTATGTAGTTTGTAGTGCTAGTGGGGCATGTACCGATGTAAAATCTGCAAGAAAACCTTTAAGAACAAAACATGTAAGGCTGCTGTTTCTTTATGTCTGACCCCTGTAGGATTGCTGCCTTCCCTTTGTATTACAAAACTCAAGTTATGCTGTTTGTAATAAATGTACATAAACAACCTTCAGCTTTTGTAGCTAGCAGAATTTCTAGCTTGTGAAAGTGCACCTAGGTACAATTTGCCATCCAGGAACCATGCCATAGTTGTAATGTAGGTTCAACTGGCCATTTTGCTATACAAAATGTTATAAAAATGTTATATAATGTTACGTATAAAAAAGATCAAGAACTGCTTTAGGATAACCAGTGCTCTTGTTTTATTTGGTAAATTTTCTAGTGCCAGCACCTAAATAAGTCGGAAGTTTCTCTCTTGAGAAGTTTCATAGCAGTTACGTGACTTCAGTATTCAATTGCTTTCTTTCTATGTTTCAAGGAGTACTTCAACGTAACAACTTAGTAGCATTTAAATAACTGCAAACTTTCTACCGAGGCATCGAGCTTTAGCTAAAGAACACAGATGTCTCCTTTCATATTCTCACTTGATTATTTGATGTGATCTCTTCTCCTGCTGTTTTTTTTTTTTTTTCCGTCTTAAACCTCACTAAGCCGAATAGCTAAACTGCACTTAACTGAAAACGTAGTTCAGGCATAGCAGCCTTCTTCCAGCGTAGTCACATCTTCCTGAGCAGTCTCATACACCTCTTTCATTGGCACTGCCTCAACGTATTAACTGCATGTGCTTTGTGATGTTACTAGTCTTTTCACGGGGCAAGTTGCTTGAATAAAAGTTCCAGTTATACTACAAATGGCGATGTGTGCACAATTGTGTAGTTAGAAAGTGCCATGAAGTAGTTAGTTCATGTTTTGTCTTGTAAATTGTTGTAGCAAAGCAGCAGATATTTTTTGGTATAAAACCGCAAAAAAAAAAAATAATAACCGAATGATGGAGTTTGAATTAAGAGGCTTTTAAGTACATTGAAAAAATAGAGGGCCAGCTGAAAAATTGAATTTTGTTTATTAGAGTTTTGTTTATTGGAGTAATTATTAGAGTTTTAATTATAGCGAATCTACTGTATCTTAATGTCACCGACGTCATGAGAAATCGAAAAGAGAGACTGAAAGAGAAAAAGTGCCTCATTCTCATGTACACTCGCCCAAAGTGACTCGATTGCCAAAGCCATCTATTACTTCTCACTCAATTTCACTGATCCTTCCTGAGTAATGATCCCTAGGATGTGAGGTGAATTGTTTATCTCTTTTATGTCCCTTTAAAGGGGGCGTTCCCATAACGAACTGAAGCACGTAAGCACTTCGTACTTTTCACTCGTTTGGAGGCTGGCTCTACTTCCCTCAATTGGTACCAAGCAGTGCTGGCAGCAAGCAGCCAACACCGCTCACTTCGCAGCCCGCAATGAAATTAAGCCATGCTCACATTTGTCCATCAAGAAATAACTACATCGGTGGCGGTGTGACTTGATACTTTACGGGTGCTTGAACAGCTTTGTGTGCCCCAAGCGGCATCTCAAATCGAGTGGTGGCGATTCAAGGTGTAAAATGCTAACACTCATGTCAGCAGTCCTTGCGTAGCAGTTACTGACTATGCTGTGGCCACACTGCCAGAAAGCAAACTTGCTATGTCATACCTTTGTAACATGAAATCGTGTCATCTTTTTTGTTTCAGTCGATGCATGTTAACATTTGAATCAAAATTAGAGGTCACTAGTAAGAGAAAAGGGACTAGTGAGCAGAAATGCTCTGTTAAGAGCAGAACCGTGTTGTGCAGTAATACAATGGGCTGCTCAGATTAGTCTGTTTGCGGCATACTGCGCAATCGCCACCAATCACCCTGACATCATTTTTATACAAAGTCACGCTGCATCTAGTTTGGGTTATGTGAAGATCTTTTTTTTTTTTTCTCATTTCTTACCAGTGGAGCATGCATTGAGCAGTTTAAAAAGGTAGATTTAACACATGGACTTATCTCGGCAAAGCCTTAAAGTCTGTATGTGCAATACATGCTGCTAGCCACATGAGGCTGCTAGCTGTGTCCCTACGGAAACACCACACACATTTTTTATCCCAAAGTTTTTGTTCAAGCAACTTGCCTCTGGCAATTCTAATTGCCTTAGCTGGTGTTGGTCATTACACACTGTTGCCAGTAGACACTGTGGTTAATTGCCTCTGTTGTCTCCTCCACTTGCTTTAGCCACAGGGTGGACCACTCGTTGTCATGGAAACATCAGTGTGACTGATACACTCAGGCCAGTACAAAAGCAAAAACCTTGAGCATTGCCAGGCTTTCGCTGCCTTTGCACATGGTGGCTGTGCAGCCATTTTGGTTGGTAGCACAGGCCTTACCTTTTTTTTTCTACACGCGAACATGATATGCTTGTTGTTGTTTTTTTCTGCGTGCACTTATGTACGTAATATAACCTTGCATCTGAACCTGCGGACTGTTTTATTTACATGTAGCCATATTTTTGTGCTTTGGAGCAGCTGCTTCATACATGGCACATAAGTAGAGCACTAAATGTTAAAGGCTGACACTGCAGTTTGGCTTTTTTTTTTTTTTAACTTGACTGTATAATCAGGCTTTAACCGTTAGAAATGCACTTCTAACAAATTTAGCCCAGAAATTACTGTGCAGGAATGCTGCGCAAAATGTTCTCAACGTAGTTACCGAACACCCGTAGTAACATTCTAGCTGCTGTAAATGTGTGGTTGTTACATGACGTAGGATAAGCGCACTAGGTCCAGGTGGGTGATATGTTAGGCACGAAGCATTATATTCTTGTAACATTGATTGAATAAATTTAACAATATTAAAATCAGAATCAATTTCCTAATGCCAGTAAATAGGGATAAATACATATGTATACATAGAACCTCCCATTGTCAAAACTGAATAGTAGGTCCTGTGCATAATGGCAGTTGTTAACTTATAACACAACTTCGGAAGCAGGTAAGTTTAAGAATAATATATAGTCATTTAGCAAACATGACATAAAGTTACCATAATTAACATAAAATAACATTAGCAACAATTATATGTATATAAACTGCATGGCAACTGTAATGTAATGGGCCCCGTTAAGCAGTTACTACACTGAAACCTCGTTATAACAAAATATCGATTATAAAGAAGTAAATAAGAAATAGTTTGCAATATACCTAGTGTTAG